ATTATCGTTCCTTAGATACGATAATACCATAATCTCTAAGGAATGATAATACCATCGTTCCTTAGGAATGATAAAATCGTTATACCTAAGGAACAATAATACCATCGTACCTTAGATACAATGATACCATCGTTTCTAAGGAACAATAATACCTATCGTATCTAAGAAACAATTCAATCGTTCCAATCGAACGTCAATCAGTTATAAATAAGATAGGTCAAATTTTGATATATACCAATCGGCTATAAGTATACCAATCGGCTATAAATAAGATAGGTCAAATTTTGGCTGATTCTAGGCTGATTTCTGATGTATGCCAATCGGTTAGGCTGATTTTGATAATTTGCCAAATTTAGGCCAAATTTAGGCTGATTTTAGACTGATTTTTGCATGTCCGATTTTTTTGATTTCGACCAGTGCTTACAGGGGCTTCGCCCAGAATTTCATACTGCTATTGCTTCTGCTGTACCTCATAACTTGAAAGAAGCAATTTATCGAGTACAAGCTATTGAAGCAGTATTATCTAAAGATAGTATGCTTTTAGGATATTCTTTAAGCAAAGCGTATTTAAATCAAAAGGATAATGACGCCGTTGAAAATTTCACCGTTACTTCTGACATTCAATAACTTATCGACCAAAATAATGACAAACTGATAAAAGAATTTAAGCAGCTGTTAACTACCTTGAATACTACGTCATGTGTTCAAAACATTAGTTCACACTCAGCTAATACAAACAACAACTGGAGGAATAATAATAGTAATAATAACAACAGTAACTGAAACAACCAAAGTTGTTATAATTGTGGATGACCTGGTCATATCGCTAGGGATTATAGGCAAAGAAATAATCCAGAAAGTTAAATAATAATGGAAACAACCGATATGATTCGACTAACAGGCCTAATATTGGGATTACTTGCCATAGTTGTCACCAAAAGGGACATATTTCCAGGAATTGCAATAATCCACCCAGGGGACCTTGCCTATACTGCAATCAATTTGAACATTAGGGATATGTATGCCCAACTAAAAACGTAAACAATCCTGTTGAAAATACTGGAGGAAATGTTAATACACCAACTGGCTTTAATACTAGACAGCATGCTGCATTATCACAAACGAGCCCAGTATACAGCACAGGTTTTACTCTATTATCACAAACCTCTATGACCTTCTCTCTTCTAAACCCACCACTAGCAAACACTCAGAATCTGTTTGCCTCTTCGTCCCAGTCTTTAAACTATTGATGGTACCTTAGAAAGGTGAGCGTACTGATGAAAATATAAACCTCTCAGAATTACCAAGAGTTGTAGAAGCAGTTTATTGTAATGTTACTGTGAATAATAAACCAATATATTTAATTTTAGACTCAGGATCAGCTGAAGTATAATGTTTAAATCTTTTCTGTAACAATTAGGATGAAAAATTGAATCAGCTTCTACTATCACGATGATAAACATACAAGGAGGACGATCATGACCTTTAGGATGAGTCACTAATATTCCTTTGCAAATAAATAGAATAGAAGTCCCTATTAATGTTGATATCACGGAATCAACTGATTATTATATAATGGCAGGAAATGATTGGCTTACCAAATGTCGGGGATGACTTTATTAAGACTGTCAAAAGTTTACATTTATTTGGAATAATAAAGAATATCAGGTACCTATAACTTGTTGGGAGAAACTACAGTTTGATCATTTTCAACAACTTGTTGACATTGTTAAAAATTCTTCTGATAAAAGAATATGAAAATGAAGAATTAATAGCTCAACGACATTATATGATATTAGGAGATCACAATGACTCTGTTCCCTTGGCTAAAAGTAGTCTAAAACAAACTTTGATGGATGGACAGAAATATTCTCCCAGTACTTTGAAAGTTTAAACCAAAAATTCAATATTCAACTACCTAAAAATGCCAAATGGAAATATCATTGGCAAAGACTGAGAAATCGATGTTGATGCTATGATAAATTAGATAAAATTGAGGATAACTGCCAACTATGTAAGAAGGAATAGGATCACTGGCAACTATTACAAAATATTTCAGATAAACACTCATTTTGCGAAGTGACCTATAAACATCTTAATGGATCTTAACAGCAACAAATCACTCAATTTCTACATAAAAATAGTAATGCATTCGCTGAAGATTTATTCTAATTAGGACATACAATGATTGAAACAAATCATATATCAGTAGAAAGTCTGATGCCTATATGATAGCATGCATACAGAGTAGCTCTCTTAAAATAAGAATTTATCAAAGATGAAGTTAGTAGGATGTTGAAATACAACTTGATACAGCCCTCTAAAGTCCTTAGGCTTTACCTGTTGTTCTTGTTCAAAAGAAAAATGGGAAACTTTAGTTTTGCATCGATTACAGGAAACTTAATAGTGTTACTCAACAAGATGGACATCCTTTACCACTTATTGATGAGTTGTTGGATATGTTTGAAAAGGCTAAGTATTTTTCAACCTTAGATTTAGCCAGTGGATATTGACAAGTGGCCATGGATCCAAATGACCAAGCTAAAACAGCTTTCATAACTAGTCAAGGACTTTATGAATTTAAAGTAATGCCGTTTGGATTAACAAATGCACCTGTAACTTTTCAACGTTTAATGAATAAGATTTTTAGAGAGGAGATCAGACAGTTCATAGCTGTGTATCTTGATGATATTATCATCTTTTCAGATACCTTTGATACACATTTGCGATATTTACAGCTCATCTTTAAACGATTAAAGGATGCTGGACTCAAAATTGGAAAAGATAAATGAGAGTTTGCTAAGTTAGAATTAGCATTTTTAGAACATATTGTGAGTGAACAAGGAATCTCGCCAGACCCCTCTAAAATAGATAAGATCAAGCATTTTCCAATCCCAAAGAATATCACTGAGTTGCGAGGATTTCTAGGACTAGCGTCATATTATAGAAGATTTATTCAGAATTTTTCAACATTAGCTGCATCATTACATTTATTATTATGAAAAGATATACCTTATGTTTGGACGGAATCACAACAAAAGGCTTTTGAACATTTGAAAACATGCCTAATAACTACACCAGTCCTAATTTAACCTAATATTAAACGCAAGTTTTTACTTTTTACTGATGGTTCATACATAGACCTTGGCGCAGTATTTGCATAATTGGACGACAATAATAAGGAACATGTTATAGCTTATGCTAGTCGAAGTATAAGCCATGCTGAATGAAATTATGCTCTAACTGAATTGGAATATCTCGCCGCTATATGAGGAATAGAACATTTTTGATCATATTTGTTACATCAATAATTACCGACCATGCAGTCCTACAATGGTTTTTTAATAAACCTGATCCCCTTATAAGTTTATGCGATGGATAATTCGTATTATAGAATTCTCATATCAAATTCAATATAAAAAAGGAAAATTGCATTCGAACGCTGACGCATTGTCTCGACTTCCCTCACAATAACCCACAATAAACATAATAAAAATCTGAGAGTAAAAGTATAAGTGTTAGCAGTATAACTAACAGCTCTACAACATGGAACCCAAAACCTACCACTAATTATACCAATATCTTACTCAACTTACATACCCCTCAAACATTATACTTCACAACAACACGCAATTCAAAAACAAGCTCAACATTATTTCGTACAAAACTAACAACTTTATAGACGTAATCATAAACATTCAACTTAACCATTACTTGTAATCAAAACTAATGAAGTTGAAAGTATTCTACATAATATTCACAATGAACCTTTAGGAAGGCATTTAGCATGTGACATTACCTATAACAAAATCACCTCTTGATATTACTGGCCTAGTATGTATAAAATGATTGATAATTAGATACAAATATGTGATATATACCAATGATAATGAAGACCAAAACCCAAAGAACCATTGCACCCTATACCTGTTAGACAACCCTTTGACCATATTAGAATAGATTACGTGAGACCACTTCTATGTACGACAAAAGGGAACAGGTATATTATTGTAACAACTGAATATTTGACAAAATGGGTTGAAGCTAGTGCCATCTCAGATTGTACTGCCCAGACTACTGCACAATTTATTTACAATAAAATTATATGTTGACATGGAACGCCAAAAGAAATATTAACTGACTGAGTAATGTCATTTCAAAGTGAATTAGTCATTGCTTTGTTGCATGTAGTAGGGACTAAACATAGATTATCTTCACTATATCACCCTCAGACCAATGGCCTTACTGAATGCTTTAATAGAACTTTGTATACCATTTTAGCTAAGTATACTGAATATCATTATAGAGAATAAGATACTTATTTGATATCCACGTTATTCGCATACTGAACTGCTCAGCAAGGAACAACTAAATTTGAACCATTTGAGTTATTATATGAACGAAAAGCAGTTTTACCTATAGATTTACAACTACGGCGACCTTCACCTATCATGAACTTATCAAATGCCATGGAAAAGCATCAACAGATAATTTCATCACAATTGCAATAACGATGATTAGATGTACAACAAAATATTATGCAATGATAACAAAAGCAACAAGAACGTTATAATAAGAATCGACCTGGAATTTCTTATCAAATTGGAGATAAAGTTTTATTATTTAATATCACACAGTCATAGGAAGACTTTCATGTGATTGGCTGATTAAGTTACACAAAATTTGTAATTGATATTGTAAATATTTATATATGTCACGTGATATAATACATGATAATAAATTTAACTATTGTATTTAAAGTATTTAGCATTTAAATGTAAAATAAATTAAAGTATTAAGAATAAAAACTATTGTTTCAAAAAATAGTTTAATTTATTAATTTTATATAATAGTCTTTAATTTTTGTAAAAAAAAAATTGTAAAAAAAATTTTTATTTTTATTGTAACTAAAATGCTTCTTTAAATAAAGTTGTCCTTTTAAACGATTTATTGTTGTTGAAATTTACGCAATGTCTCTTCTAATACACATGCTACATATTCTATAAATTCGCTTTCATCATCATCATCACATGGGTATTTTTTTCCAGATCTTCAACTTCAGCTTGTTGTTCTTCTTCGAAGCGATGCAAGCGTTCTAATAAAGACTGAACATGTTCATCAATACCGTCTTGTAAAAATGAGAGGCAATGCATGCACTTGAATCTATTGTTTATATAACAAGATTTGTGATAAGTGTGACCGCAAGCCAAAACTTGAATAGAATCTGTATTAAAAGAAATAGAACAGTTAGATGCATCGCAATATTAAAATAAATCTGATTTATGTAAAGTATTAAACCTTAAAGGAAAATGACACAATTATGCTTCTGGCATTTTCATTGCTGCTAATGAAATGAAAATTTCATTAATTTTATAACGCTTCTTCGAAGGTATATTTGGATTTACCTATAATGGAATTATTAATGGCAAATTATTGTGAAATATGCGTATATGGATTTCTGAAAAACATTGCAAAAGGAAACATGCAATTTTCTTTGTTAAATAAGTAATATCTCAGGCAGAATATTCATAGGCAGCCCATGTGGATGTGTGAGCGATGTTTTCTCTAAATTCATTATCGTTCAGGCATAATCGGTTGATAAAATATCCATATTTAATGATCTGCTATGCCTCAGTGTATTTCTGTGTGCTCTGACGTAGAAAGCTATGGAATATTTCAACAGTCGAGTCTGAAAACTTTGGAAGTTCGGCTTTAATGGTTTTTAAAATAAGATGATCGTTTAACTCCCAGAAAAATATATCTGAAAGAAATATTAATGGTGCCTTAGTATAGTTTTTACGACGGAATTTGAGAAATACAACACACACAAGAATGTATGATTCTAGATAAGTGTCAAAATTGCCGGATTGAAAAAACACCACATAAACGTCCAAAACCAGAGAAATTAGGTTATCAAGCAAATCTTTCAGTACAAGATATTCAGCATCTTTACATAGAAATCCAAATTTCACATCAACACTTGTCGAAATTTCCTGCCAAGCGATACGAGAAATCTCTAAAAGAAGATTAATACACCATGGCTTAGGCTTTTGTGCAAAAGGACTTCGTTCTCCAAAAATATACTTGTACATAGCCAAAAAAGGCTGATATTGAAGGAATATTAGTTCTCGACTATTTAACGAGATATGCAAGGGACCTATAATAGAAAGAAATGATAAAATAGAATTAGTGATATTCGATCGATCACAATATAAAATAAAACGAGAGATGGCCATCCTAAGGTAGATTTGTTCAGGCCAATCAGCAATAACAGGTATAATATATTCCTTTTGAATATATTGTTGCATAGATGGAACATTTACAATGGCATTAATGGCCTTGATATATGCATTTAAAGAATAGAGATTATTTTCTTGTAAATCTATGAGGACTACGTCTTTCATCGAACAAGCATCCCATTTCTCTTTCAATCTAGTATCATAACTATGTATGGTTAGCTCTTCTAATTTAGTACTATCATCAACTGAATGGAATCCCTAGCGTTGATTATGCGAAAGACTAAGAAGCGTTATGAATCTATTATTTAGATTCAGTTTTATCAACTCCGCGTCGACCAACCTAGGGTTGTATATATTCATATTTGGAATCGCATACTATGTAGTGATCGGGTTCATTAAAATTGTTGCCAAGTGTGCTGCAGTAGAAGTTGTGGTCGTGTTTGGCATCTGTTTCGTATGGATACTATGATAATCATTGATATTTAATATCATTGCCTTTTCTGCATATTACGCGAATGTAGAATCGACATTTTTAGCATAATCATTAGATATGGTAGTTTTATGCCGCACGATTATATAAGATGTTGTAGTTACACCTAGATCAGCAAGAGTATCTATGGAGGCATTAGAAACACTAGTAGAATCCAAGTACATCGTCAATTCTTCCTTTGTGATATTAACGAACTTGCTACAAATTCTACAGAGAAAGTAGCATACATATAAGAGCTGCTTTTTCGCCCATGCTCGTAAATTTTCATTTTTTGAAGAAGGGTTAAAAGAAATATATAACTCGTCAAAAAATGAACTTAATCTTACATCTTCCTCTTCTATAACCGCACGAAATTCATCAAATGAGTATATCGCTGATTTTTTTTCCTTCTTTTCACGGTATAAAATATTAGTAATTATTTCTATTGCTTTAGAGAAAGATAAAATAGAAGGTGGAGGTGGTGGCACCTGAAGCAGAAGCAGTGGGTATAGCGGAGCCAAAGGTGGTGGTGGTAGTGAAGGTTGAACCAGAGGTGAAGAGAAAGATTTCAGAGCATGTTTTTGGAATGCAAGTGAGCAGTTTACCACAATTCCGTTATAACAGTTTAAGCAAATCTTATTACCTATTTGTAAATATCCTGGTAAAGTTTTATTAGTTTGACCTTTCGAAATAACATACTCAGTTACCTTTTTCCATCGTACTGACTGTTGGGTTTGGCATATTATAATTACACACGATTCTATTAAGAGTACTTGCCTCTAAGTAAAGTACCTTTAGATTTTGGATTTTTTTGAAATTATTTTGCATAGTGAATGTTAATACACTTTCGAAGCTAAAGAAAAAATTTTTTATTTTTTTTATGTGAAACGTTACAATCTCAAAAGTACTCTAAACTATATAAATAATGTATCTAATAATTGAATAGGATCAGCCAATCACGTGAATGTCCGTCCATAAATCACACAGTCACACATTCACAGCGACAAATTTAAGGACAAATTCGATGGACCTTTCTACATTCACGACATTGTGAGACTTAGCACATATAAATTTTATACTATAGATAGACGAATTAGAAAGAACCCTATATATGCAGATCTTTAAAGTTATATTTGAAATGAACTGAATGGGAACCTCAGATTATTATTGAATAATAATCAGCATTAAGACATTATAAAAAGGATCTCTGCCACCATTATATTATTTAAACAAAACTATAATAGAACTTACGAATTTCGTAACAGTTTTAAAAGAACTTCAAATTTCTACAACTATTCTTGAAGAAGAAATTCGACCAATGGAACCTCCATATCAAACTAACGCATCCTTAGCTCAAAAAGTGCAATCCACTTATCAAACTCTCCTTCGTTCTACCCGTATGAGAAACTGTATTTTATCTCTTATTAATGCTTTTTATTTAGGTCAACTTATTGACAATGTGACTATTTTACCAGCAGAACGAACAGTACAAATGGTAACGATAACTAAACATTATTACTGAATTGCTATTCAAGTTTATCATCTCTTTGAAAATATAGGAGTCTAAGGAATCTTTGATACTCAATGTCTGACCTTGACCATAATCTGACGATTAAAGTCCAGTAAATATCAAGCTCTTGTACTGAAAACTCTCGATATTTCTGCAGGAGCAGAAATCTTAAGCGGGGAGTAATGTGAATGGGTAAATGTGACGCAGCTCATGTAGCATAAAAGATTGATTAATTTAATATAAACGATATATATGATATGTTAGACATATGTGGTATAACTAACATATTAGACATAGTTAACATATTAGATATAGTTGATATATTAGACATGTTAGTTATATCTCTCTATGTAATTTATTTTATATAAATAGGTAGCTTTTTAGTTCATGTAAAAAGACAGAGACAGATAGGAACTCGACAAGTTAGTTTTAGTAGTTTTAGAGACAACTGGCCTATTGCGTTACATTTTACTTTTAGTAATTCATTTCTTTTCTTTTTTTATTTTATTTTTTTATTTTTTTTATCTGTTTTCTTTTATTCCTATTATTTTACTTGTGAATAAACACATTATTTTACAATTACAAATCATTGACAATCTGTTAAATTACTCGACGTAATAGTATAAATACTTTTGATAAACAGTCTGAAATAAAACTCATTAACTGTTGAAAGATTACTGCTCAATTAAAAAGAATAAACTGCTCAAACATCCTATCTAACAGTTGTAGTTCGCAAAAATTATATGTTAACAGTGTTAAAGGAGTTTTAGCTAAAAGTTTGATATCCTTAATTCTGTTCGCAAATGAGCGAGGATTTTTTGGATCAAACATGTTCTCCTGGTCATATACGAAAGTAACTTTAGAATAAGGTGTAGGTGCAGAATAATTTTTAAATTATATTAGCTTATAGTATTGATAGAGGTTTTGTATTTGTCTGTCTTTGGGAGTTAGTCTTTTGCGTTTACAATTTCACGAGTCGTATCTAGGAATGGAACAATGTACACATAGGTTGGTATCAGGTGCAGTCCAGATGAGTTTCTTATTGTCAAACTCAATAGGGTCACATTTTTTACCGTATCAAGGTCTTCTTTATTAATGAAGTGCATAAAGGCATATTGTAGATTTCTATAATTTGATTGTGCTTTGGGGATTACCCATGTGATAGCATTAACTGCTTTACTGATAGGCTTCAATTCTCTTCCAATAGTGTTCTTAAGAAATTTCATAAGTTTTAAAGTAAATTGGGAATAAGCCTTGATTTCTTAGACTGTGAAAGAACATATGTGTACTCTGACTATGTTTTTCAAAATAAAAAGGCCAGCATGAAAGTTAAAAAAGGACAAATCTGTCTTAGGTACATATAAAATAGTCACCTGCTACCAAAGATTTTTCATCATTATGCATTTGGTAATTATACAGAATCAGGCAAATGTAGATCAGATGATCTGCTCTATAGTGGAGATCAGGATTTCTGTGACCTTGATCGACAGACTCAAGTTAAATTTGAATGGAGCAGGTGTAATAAGGGGTATAAACGTGATGTTATCCATATTGAAAATTTTTGCAGCTATAGAACGATTGGCGTCATCTCGAGTTGTGAATTCTAAATAGACTATTTTCAACGTACTATTTTCTGGATCTTGCTTGATTGATGCACTAATGAATGATGGGAATGCTGCGCTATTGAAAAGTTCATAGACGTAGTTAGTCTTTTTGCGAAAAGATTTGTTAGAAAGTAAATTTTTAGCAGCGCAGTAAATATAAAAAATAGTCGCGTCTCAGACTCTTTCAAAGGTAATAATATTCCTGTTAGTTTCATTATTGTTTAATAAATTTTCTGAAGCATCGAAAGCTTGGTCTTCATTCATTTTATTTTTAACTCTGGGGCCATTATTTCACTATCCTTTGGTTGAGAAATAGGAGAAGGACTAGTGATAGCTATTTCTTGTGTGTTATTTTCTCTGGAAAACTAGGTATCTTTTTTGTATTCAAAGTTTTTGCCTTCTGCAAGGACTGCTTTCACTTGTTAGTCTATGCTCATATCACTAGCTGATAAAATATTAGTGGTAGTTACGACGTTTGACGGTCTAGCTAGAGTTTCTAATATTTAGGCAGATCTGCCAGTCATGGTTTTCTTTTGGGAAGGTTCTTCGTTGTTTTTTGTTAGAGAGTCAGAGTGAGTTCGCAAGTTGCAATTATTATTTTGTGAAAATTTTTGATTTTTTTCTTTTCCCATTTTTTTTTTGGTTTTGGAGAGAAAGGGGAAAGTTTTTTTTTTGGATATGCAAAAATGATTTTTTTTTTTTTTATTAATGTGCGCCGGCATAAGGCCCCGCTAGAGGAGAACTTGTTAACCAAATTAATTTAACCCTTAAAGCTAGCCTTTTAAGTCTCTGATTCTCAGTTAAGAAGTACGGCAATCTAGCACTAGAAGCACATCCCTGTCAGTTACCACCTAATTAGATCACTTATAACAGCTATACCCACAGTTACAAGCTCACTAGACCATCAGGTACTATCATCTTTTGGATAGAGGGTTCACTTCAACTATAGAGCTTGTCATACCCTATTTTTACCAATCTAATTTATAGAGTTTTATTCTATTGATGACTACCGAGACCGTAGGATCGGATCCTTTATATAGATGGTAGTTTTATACCCATAACGTTAAATTCACCTGGGAATTGAACCCAGCCTCTACCCCTAGTGATAGTTCGATTAGATAGTGCTGTGGCGTGTAATGCAGTCTATTATCACCATAGCCTACCTGAAGGAGATACCTAATCTACTAATTACTGGTTAATCACTTCTTTACTTGTGTAAGGGCCCTGAATTTGAAGACGTGAGACAGTACCCATTACAGGCCTATTAGCGAAGGCCAAGTTTCTATTGATCCTTGGCTTCATTTGCATCCACTTGTTCTTCAAATCTAATATTTAGACATGATTAACGTTAACTAATGGAACAATCAACCAGTATCTAACGTTTATTAGTCTAAATACTCACGTGTTCAATTACATATAAAATTCTTATGAAAATCATCTAGTTTTATGCCTCGGCTGAGGTCTAAACCTGTGACTATCACAGTGTAACCTACAATAAGAGCTCAGTTGTTACCAACTAAACTAGGAACGCCAATCTCTGATATGCAAAAATGATCTATAAAGCTGAAAAGGATGATCAATTTTGTGTTATATTAAAATAATTTGTAGTATTGTAACCAAATTAAATAATCAAATGATCTATATATCTTATTTTCTAAATTTAGTAATCTAATTTTATTATGCAAATAGGTCTTATTATATCATTTATCATTAATGACATTTATTTCATTTTTTTTATTCATTTTATTTTATTCATTTTTGTTATTTATTTATTATATTTATTTTATCCATTTTACCTATTTTCATTATTTTATTTATTTTATCATCATTAGTAAATATTTTTATATAAATAGGAGTAGTTTGTTAATATAAAAAGATAAGAATTGTCTTGTCTTATAATAATTCTTTTGATAAATAAACTGTTTTAGTATAAACACACCAATAGAGACAGTACTAGTCTTTTGTTTGTTAAATAATTATTTACATGCATTCTACCCAATTTATTGTATTCATCTTTATCTTTTTATCTTGTATTTTTATTTTATTCTTCTGTATGAAGGAAATCTTCTGCTAAACTGTGATATCATAAGTAATTTATCTGTGTTCTAAAAGAACTGGCGTAATAATTGTATTTATATTACTGAAATAAAAATGGTCTCAAAATTTTTTAAAAATCTTTTCTTTCTTAAATATTATAAGGTAATGATCAGTGATAATATGAATATAAATATTCTTTAAGTCAATAAATATATTTTTCTTTTTTATATTAATCATATAATTTTATTAATTAAATTATATATTCTTTAAAATATAAAAAAAATAAATAAAAAAATAAAATTAAAATAAATAAAAATAAGAAAATAAAATAAAAAAAAATTAAAAATAAAAATTAATTATTATTATTTTCAATAATATTTTTAGGATTAGAATTAAGAGTATTAGATATAAGATAAAAAAATCTTAATTTTTAATAATTTATATAACTGTTTAAGTCTTTTATTTTATAGTTTTAGATATAGGTTATTAAATAGAGTTTAATATAAAATTTAATATTAAAATAATAAAAAATGTAGGACATTTATAATAGAAAAGAGGAAAATAACTAAAAAAATCAATTTTATTTTTATGTATAAAATATAATTTTTAAATCAAAATATGTTCAGATTTAATAATAACTCATTTTTATTTTTTTTTATCATTTTTTCTTTTTCTATTATAAAAGTCTTAAGTATTATTAATATTAATAATTTGATTAAAAATTTAATATAGAGCTTTTATTGTGAATGGATCTTACATTAAATTTAGAAAAATTTTAAAAGTTATTGGGCAATTTTTGAATAAAATTTATATACTTAAGAAATTTTTTATTGATCAATTTTCATTTAAAATAGTTTTTTAAAAAAAGTCTCTTACAATAGAAATTTAAATCATTTTAAATCTCTATAACTTTGAATTCTTATTATTTTCTTTCTAAATTCTGCAAAAATTTTATCTTTTTTATGTAACAGCTCACTATTTCTCTTAAAAAAAAATCATTTTCATCAAATAATAAAATTATACTTTTAGGTAAATTTCTCTGTAATAAAATATTTTTCATTGAATATAAGAAAAAGTAAGATCTAAATTTATTTTTTATGTTATAATTAATATTAACTTTTTATTTATATGAATGCTAATTTATAATTATTTATTGTTAAATTTAAAATATGAAATTTTTTATTTGAAACTAACTGATATTTGCTATATTGTAACAGATTATAAGAATTGAATTATTAGTAATTAAATTATATAGTAGAAAATTTAAAGTTTTTTTATTTATTAAATAATAATATAAAAGGAGTTTATTTAATAGATAAGAGATAAAATATATAATTATATATTTAAATAAATTATAATATATATTTTTGAATTAAATAATTCAAAAAAAAAATTCTATAATATGATATATATAATTAATTTTATATTGTTATTTAGGATTTAAGTATTTTATTATATATAATATTCTTATTTTATAAATTTTATCATTATCTATAAGAATTCTAATATTGATATGAGTTTATTCTTGATAAAGCAATATATAATTAATCATATAAATAAATAGATTTAGAAAGATAAATATTAACTTATTTTAAAGTTATTGATTCTTATTATAATAAAACTTTAATTATTTTTATTATCTCTTGCTATTTAAACTAATTATCTTAAATTATAAATATATATTCAAAATCAGATAAATATTTTATTTAGTTATAATAGTATTAGGTTTTAAAAAACTTTAAAAATGAGATAATTAACATTTTAAATAATAGTAAATAAAATATAAAATATAAAATATGAAATTTATAATGTTATTTCTTAAAAAAAAATGTTTAGAAAAAAAAATTTGCTGTAATCTTATATAGATTATGTAAAAAAACAATATTTGGGATATTTATTTTAAATTTAGTATAATAAAAGATAAATCTTCTTTATTTTATTCAAAAATAGTTAAAACTTTAAAATCTTTAAAAAATGAAGTTATAATTTTATCATATGAAAATTATCATTAGAAAATTCAAGAAGATTTGAGAAATTTATGGATTTTTTTTTATAATTAGCATTTTTGGCATCTTTGATGAATTTCATTAAAATCTATTTGAAATCCTTAATAAATAAAATAAAAAAATATATTGGCTTATATAATTTATTTTTATACTGTTACATATTATCAAGAAAATTTATTAATTATGGTTCATGATATGTAAGTATTTAAATTTTTTAGTTTATATTATTATAGAAATCAGTTTTGAAGAAACTGATTTTGTGTTAATAGATTCAGCATATTCTATTTTTCTAAATATTATTCTTTTATTTAAAAATCATTCAGAACTGAATAAAAATAGATAAAACAATTTAATAAAACATATAGCAAATTCTGAGTTTTAGTAGAACAGGCATTTGGTTGACTAAAGAATAGATTCCAATTATTAAAAGAATTATGGACTAAAAATACTAAAATAATAACTGATTTAATAGAAATTTCCTTAGTTTACATAATTTAGTAGAGAGAAATAGAGAAATAGAAATAAATAATGGATAGAAAGCAGTATAATGATGATGATAATTTATGAAGAGCTCAATTATTATAAACGTTTTAGTTGAATAATTATTTATTCTTTAGCTATTATGTCTTTTGCCCAATATTTTATGGTCAAATACCTTCTGAACTAATATTCTTCATAAATATGATGAGGTTTCGTCTAATGATAAAGACAGTTGATTAGCAAAATTTAAATAGCATTTAATCTTATAATTATTATAAACAATAATGATAATGTAACTGTTTGTATAAAGTGCCAACGATTGAGACAATACATTTATTTATATTGTTTTAAATTAGTATTTCGCTATTATTAATAAATATATTTGAAAAATATAAACATTTATTTACCATTTCTATTTAAAATTTCACAAAAAAAAATGCCAACTAATAGACATACCATGGCCTTTCAGACTGATCTTTAAAATTTAGAACAAATAAAAAAAGAACGATAAAATAATAAATAGAAATAGAATGATAGAAAATAAAAGAACGATAAAATAAAAAATAAAAAAATAGAACGAAAAAAAAACTGAAAAAGACAGTTTTTCCAACATTTAATTATAATATTTACGATTTTGAAAATTACTGTAATATTTCCTAAAATCTAAAATAATTTAAAATCTCTTCAAATTCAAAATATTTTAGGAAAAATTATATTTGCCAACATATAGCCTTAAATGTTATTTATTAAAAAAAATTAAATATATCCCTACGATCGAAATGTAATTCACGAGGTCACACAATTCAAAAAACTTTTTTATACAGGTAATCTAAACATACAATCAATTTTTTTATATTGTAGATTATAGATTATACATCCCCATAGTCGTACGAATAGTTGTACAAATATTTTTGAGCAAATCATGTTACACGATGTTTGTCGTGCATCTGGCGTCACAAAAAATGCAGTGGTAAGTTAAAATTTAATAAATAAAGGATTATAATAAATTTTAAATTTCTAGCAAAAAAAAATTTATATTCAATTCACTGCAAATATAATAAATAATTATAAGTGGAATAATATTTATTGTATAATCTTATTTTTATAGCGCGTGAAATAAATCACTGTGACAAATAACTTCACGGCCAAAGTATTATAATAATATACGTCCGTGTAATTATACATATTTTTTTTTTGTACTATAAAATGGTCTCATATCACATATTAAATGTACTTAGACTTAACAAAATATATTCTTTGGGTTGGGTTAATTATAATTTTGTAAGCTTTTAATTAAATTAATCAATAATTATAAGTTATTTTATAAATTATCACCGGAAATCCTCATAATTGAATTTTGGTTTCTCTTTTGATACCATTTATAACCAAGGATTCCAATTATTGTTAATATTGCGGTACCTACAATTCCGCTTAACGTACCGATAATAACATCAGATTTATTTGGTGAGACAGAAACAGTTGAAGTTGCAGTTGTTGAAGGAGTATTCGGTAAATTTGTATTTGGAGTAGGCTCAGATATACTTTTAGGTTCAAATTTATCAACCCAAATATAGTTACTAGTATTCCTAATATCTAACAAATATATTTTGTTTGACCAAGAAATTTCTGCTAATCCATTTGGATGAACAAGACGACCTAATAATTAAATTAATTATTATGCTTATTAAATAAGTTAAAATAGACGTGTTTTATACTACGTATAAGTAATATTTACCAAAAGCTATAATCACATAATCTCCAACTAAATTTGCTGTATGATAACTTAGTGATGGAAATTCATCA